GTTAACGGGTTTACTCTTTTCAGCACGCCTATGCAACAGGATATGACGCAGCAGCACGTGAATATCCACTTTCCTAGAACTGTGGGAGTGGGGTCTCTACCTGAGCTTTCCTTTACGGAGTCCACTCTCTCCATTTTTGCTTGCTTTCGTCACTCATTAAATGATTAACCGAACTCTGTAATGTCTCAAATACTCCGGTGTTCCGATTTCTCCGAGCGAAAACCTCGTCGACCTGGAATATGCAAAGCTGCCCAAGGTGATCATGTCCTTCGGCATGCACTTCACAGCTGTAAAGTTCTATGTAAAACAAGGAAAGGCCAGTTTTTGAACTAAAAGTGACACGAATTATTGGGACTTTATATATCGTTAATTGCCATCTCCCTTGACGGGGACCCCGGGACTCAACTCACCAACGGCTAGTGAGACCAGCAGAAATGGCCTGATTAGAGTCAGTGGTGATCGTGCATCGGTTCATATATACATCGTGATAGATTGGCAGCTATGGCTGCCCAGTTCCGGAACAAAACATTCCCACGCCTCCAAATCATGATTGTATCTCCCATGCTCTCCCATTTCTTGATGATGAAAACTGCAGCAACTGCAAGAACCCTGCCATTGCTACCTCGTTCATAGCTGGTAATCTTGTTGACTGACTGAAGGAATGTGATTCATGCACAAGACAGCATTCTGATTGGTTAGTTGTGCACAAACTAGGAAGCGCGCGCATTTAAAATACATGTGCGCACAAGCCACCGACATCCCCTGGAAGACCCGTTCTGTAGCAGTTTCCATCAAGTAAACCTAATCATTGACTCTGCATCTCACCGGCCAACAAATTCACCCTTTCAGAATCTTGTACTGGCCTTCTCGGTTTGGTTTTGCGTGACACTCGATGTAAAGCATTGTTTACAGGCAACACCTGTCCCTCTTGAGTTGTCTTATTAGTGGTAACTGATATTCTGTCTGCAAAATCATACTCATGCAGATTTGTTTCTTTTCTACGTGTATTGTAGTAGTGATCTAATTCCATCCATAATTTCTAGACCAGTTAACACTCTGTTTTCACCCAATCACCAACCTAGTATGATGTACCTAGCTGCGCTAGTTTTTGACCTTTTCTTGTCAATGGCCTTTATGCTACCAAATATTTCCCATCGCCACCCGGCTTGTTACACTTCCTAAGTTGACGTCGTCAGCTGTACCCGAAGGCGGTTTGCTTTCCATCCGCATGGGCTTCCAAATAGACCGAAAATAACAGTGATCTTGCTTCAGCTTGGCTTTCCCTGTTTTTCCTACGGTTTCTGTCCACAGAAATGCACGCCCCTTGTCCATGCAACTCATATTTGAAGTTCGCTAAGGAGCTGCCCACAAACCTAGGTACGTCAATGCAATAATAGCACGGAGCTGCTGTGATTCACAATTTCCTATGGCGTAATAAACATGTTCACTCTGCTCTCTTACCCTTTCTTTTCGTTGTTGGCCACAATGTTCAGATTGTAAAGGTTTCAAGTCTCAATTGATAGGTCACTCACAAGCTTGGAAATAAATATACTATTTTATCTTGTTCACCAGTAACTCTATTGCGGGGTAACTAGTTGATACACACAAAAAATTCCAAAGCGAATTATCAGTGTTTAACACTGATTTCACGCTGTCGACGATGCTTCCGGGTCGAATGATTTTGAGTTCATTGGGTAGCTCCAAAATTGCAAATCCAATCCCAATCCCAATCAACAACATCCTCGTTTTTGACGTCATATTGTGGAAACATTCTTGTCCCTAGCTGATGTACTTAAGAATGGAAGCAGGACCCTATTTCACATATTTCGTAACTTCCATACCACACGGGCTAGGAAATAAATACCTTTCATCTTGCCACCGGTGGAATACTTCAACACATTGTCAACCCACTGCCTGTCTCTTCAGCAAATTTTGCATGTTATGGAGCTTTTAATCGAGATCTCCTTGAGGTTTATTTGGAGGTTCAACATTTTCGCTCCGGTTCAGAGTATTTACTATCGTTACAGATCACAACCGCGCCACAATGACTTCAAATCGTTACTCGCCAGCTTCATAGTTCATATAGGTTTTCAATTGCAATTGACTTTGCCAGAGGAGCTAACGATGTTTATGATGCAATTTCCGAAGCCCAAGTTCATACTTTTTTCTTCATTCATTCAATTTGGCGCCTACGGAGAACATAGAAAAGATCCTCGGTTGCAACTTATGCACCACCCGTCCCTCAAACTCTCTGTTTCTCATTACTTAACTGTGGTACGGCTGTTACATGCCAAGTATCAAGCGACTAACTCATGTTTTATGTTCCAAAGGCTCATAAGAATGCAGTCCTTACTCTCTGCCCTTAACTGCTGTTTGCTCCATATCGAAGCCCATCAGTCAACATATTCACGGTCACATCACGTCCTACTGTCCTCGCACGAGCATCCCGGTATTTCCGTACCAAGGCGGAACGACTGGACTTGAGTTTCATTCTTACTAGAGCTAATCAGCATTGCACACCTTTGGCCGCACCAGTATTTAAACACCAGATCTGCGACATACGGAGCGAGCGAGTTACCATACTCTACAAGCGAACACTGAACGCATATGAATTTTCACGTATGAACCAATAATTGTGTTCACACACGACCGAGGTGGTTGATTTTCCTGGCGCCCCGAACGTTGATCCGTTGTGCCGATCGATTGCCCCACCTTCTGGAACCTCCCAGGCACCATGAACGCTTGAAACCTGGTGGACCTGCAGTTCTGATCAGTTGTAGATGTTCGCGGGATTTCTCAAATTCACATTCACGTCATCCTCTTGTCCTTGGGCAATTATTCTCACATAGTACTGCCGTCAGACGTTGAACCACCTCAGATATTACAGAAAAAATATATAACGACTCTCAGTACAGGCGGTGCAGATATGTGTATTCCTGAGTTCCGTGCCTTTCGCTCTCCCGGAACGGATCGTGGTTCCAAATTTTTCATGGCCTGAGTAAACCCCAAGTAAACCGACGACTCACCACTGAAATTTGTGACCCAGTTTTCACTCGTTCACATGCAAGCTGTAGCACCCCGTCCTGCTAACCTGCTACAAGAGGGGCAACGATAATAGGGAATGGACGACCGCAGAATTCGTCTCATGCCTGAGTACTCACAATGGCTTCCTGGCTTTCCCCCTCAACCTATTGTTTGTTAAGAAGGCTGGTCCAATATCAATTTGAGCGGCCGAGGGAACAAACACGACAGATTCCTTGCCCTATCCCTCAAATCCATGTTAACTTGGCCTACCGAGGGTCTGTTAGTCGAGCGGAACGTAACTTTTCCACCTCACTAACGCGTAACATTCTGTCACGCTTCGGAGTTGATGTTTCCATGATGTTTAATTCAAGAAGAATACCTCCTTCACAAAGCCTCCCATATTTCCAGTCCACAACGGCTTCCATTCAGATTTATCCTAGCCTCACGTACCCGCACGCTTCAGAGCGTGCGCGCTCGTATGAATCATGGTCAATAACTTTTTTCTCAGATGCTGATAAGTTAGGTGAACGGTGTTTACCTCTTTTACTTCTGCCACTGCTCCGAACCGCATCTGCGATGAGTGTTCGTAAGAGTCCTGAGTCTACGAGCTTCCTACTCGTGTGAGTGTTGGCACTGTAACCAGAAACGATGGCTTCTGACCCCATTACTCGTACCAGCCGTTGTTCACAGTATAATAGCTATGAATATCTAACATGAACGGTCAACATGATGAACGCCCATCGAAATTCTCGTACACATAGGCTATTTTTCCACTCATACAGAATATTCCATTCCAGTGTGAATACTGAACCTACCAGCCGGTTACATGAAAGTTCACAAAGAACATATAAAGATGTGAGGTTGCATTCCCCACATTAGTTTAACGTTGGCACTTAACACACACGAAAACGCTTTGCCGCTGCATGTGTTTCCGCCAAAATGATTGGGAAGTGTGTAGTACTGCTTATTCCGGGACATTTAGGTGCACTTTTACAGTCCGTTTTGTTAAGTTTCGTGCGGTTGCTTCGGTTTAAGATGAATCTAAAGGGGCGCGCTTCCCACTTTGTGGGTTCACTGGCCAATGAGGATGCCCACTGATAGGTGGATCGGGTACCGTGTCCAGCTACAAGAAAATACTACTCGCCGAATCTGCTGCGGGGTGCCTCTAACACGATATTCCATGAACCAAAAACAGGATGGTGTGCTCTGATTGCCAGGATGATGAGAAAATATGTAACTGAAGACCGTTTAGTTCAAAACCAAGTGACGGTCCAGGAGGAGCGGATGTAATCAAGTGGACGGCCCTGGTACGTGCTCAGATCGATCTCTGAAGTAGTCAAGAAATTTATCCCCATACAGGATCGATGACAACTAAAATTACCAGTTCAGCTAATAGAATTGGCTGGTTAAACCATGAAGTAAGTCAGAAATAAAGTAATATATTCGCAAGTGGTTGAGAAACCCGATTGTTAGTGAGGCATTATATCGAATGATTGTGTGAAGCTTACCGGTCGTATTATGATTTATGTCAGAAAAGCGCGAACCATTTCCTGAAACGACCATACGAGATAATAAAACAACTGAACTTCATGCACATGAGCACCAAGTTCGCCTGATGAGCAGCCCTCCTGGTGACCAGTGGTTGGCAAGTAAAACTCATAGACGAGGTTTAAAAAAAATCCCGAGTACTGTACTCTCTGGGTCATCTCTGAAAGGTAAGTGTACCTAGTGGGTTAGATTGGTGTACCGACAGATTTCACGCGCGACTGCTCTTGGTGAAAATCACGACTATGGGCGAATGACACAACAGATGAAGAGTAGAGATGAGGTTTCCTCGGGATAAACAGCAGCGAAAGCTTCAGGCGTGGTTCTCAGTGCTGAAAATCAACTGCCTAGACCAAAAGCAGTACACGGCGGAAGATGTTCTGAAAGTCAAAATGATCAAAACGTAAAGACGGGTAGAGTCGATAAAAGCTGTCAAACGTCTTTAATTTCCTAATAGAATAGCAGGTACAGACACATGGTATAACGAATCTGTTTGAAGGGGAGATCAGAAAACAAGACAACATTAGCACAGTCTGTGACTGAAAGATTATGAAAAGACAGGGTTGATGGAATGTCCGAGATTAGTTGGTATGGGATTAGTGAAAGAAGACGTTGAGGATAGATGAACAAGCACAACTACACCTCATTCAGGAAGTGGAAGGTATAATGGCCAACTGACCTTCATCTAGACAGTACATGTGAAAATTAACGTTTGGATCACAGCGCGAAGGTCAAAACAACGTAATACAAATCGACTAATCACAGCACGATAGGTTTTTAAGATACCAAGACAAACACGGAGCAGACTAGTTTACGCAAGTACGGACAGCCAAGTGTAAGCTGGATGAATCAACAGGGCATCGACAGACGAAGCAAAATGCTTTTCAACTGTTCTAGACAGGCGGATGAGGTGTCCGCGTTCGTGGATTTGATACCGATGTTGATGATGCCAGTTTGATGCTGAAACGAAAAACGAAAAATCAACACTTGAAAAATTACTCCCCCTTAATGATGTCGCAGTGGTGTAAAACAAGAAGGACTCTACCACTTATCAGCGGACATCAAGAAGTCAGAACAAGCTGAAGTAGTTCAGTCGACCGAACGAAGTATAAACGTATTTAATGAGCGTAAAATACATTATACAATGGTCCTGAAGTCAAAACTGTCAGAACGAACATCACCACAATAAAGTTAAAAAATTTTTCATCACAGATCACTCATTTGAAAAGACATAGGCTCGACCTGTACGTAAATTTTCTCAGAAGTGACTGCACAATTCCAAAAGACCAAATAATCTCGTGAACGGCTAGAATCGCTCTCCTTCTGAAAGTACATTAACTTGGAAGGTACAGATTTTTAGTCCTAAATTTACAGCGTTGCTACTGCAGTGCAGGTAAACTGAATCACGGCGAGCTGAACCACCTCCTCGTGGTGTCGACCGGGTAGCCTGGACGTCTGTCTGGGTGAGCTAAGAGTTCAGAAACTCAGACAGGGCCAACCACCCCCATTTGGTTTCAATGTGCTGGTTACTTTCGACAATGTATACTACGAATCATCTGGCGCCTCCGCACCAGTTCCAACCAGTACACAGGAGAGACTCGTTAAGTCCACGTGTGAGGAACGTGGCAAGTGCTGCAAATCGAAAGCTGGCTTGGTAGCCCATCATCGAGTTCACGACAATGAAAGTGTTGGTACGAACACGGTTGCCCAATGGCCTGCGCTGATTGTTCCCGCCTTTTTCCGACGAAGATTGGCCTGAGTCAACCCCGCCGGCCCGCACCCCCCCCCCCCAGCATAATGCAGATAAGCTTGGCCGAGTGAAGTATTCCGGTACCCGCTGGTCCCAGCAAGAGTCACAATCGCTCTTACGCCTGGCTAACAAT